CCCCCGGTGCCCCATCCTCTGCAGTCATTCCATGAAGCTCTGGGGACCTGGCTGGGACTGTGGAAACGCGCAGGAAAGGTCAGATCTGCGGTGGCCCAGACCCGCTGTGACTGCGTGAACCAGCTATCAGCACACAGTTAATGTCTGTCTGCTTTCACGTCTGGTGACAACCACGGTTAAACTCCACTAGGCACAAGGAACACCACAGGAAATCCCACCCCCTTTAGCTCCACCACTTCTTCCCCGTTAGGCAGCTTGTCAATTTTCACTCCAAAGCTCAATATCAAGGCCACGGTATCTAATCATTAAGTTCTAATATTTCCAGCAGTCGCCCTGGTGGCTTGGTATTTCAGGGAAATCATGTTCATTCAATAAGCAGTAATTTCTGCGTATGGTAATGAGGCTGGAGAGATTGCATTCGGGTCTCTGACTCAATATACGGAGGTCACCTTCCAAGCCACAGTGATGGATGGGTCCAAGCCTGCTATTATCTCCACTAGAGGAAACAGACTACTTTAATTGACTGGCACATCTCCGCCATGACAAACACAGAAAGCTTCCTCCATTAGGGGCTGATGGATCGAAGCCGGGCAGGGAAGAGACTGTAATTTTCTGTGGGTCAGATTCATCGAATGTACTTTCTTTTCAAAAATTATTACTATTTATTTTTCTCACAAGATAATGCACATCTCCTTTAGAGCACGCGTTCTTTGTTCTTAAAGGTTATCTAATGATTTGGCAGCAGGATCCAGCACTTGGTCAGGAAAGTGCCACTTCTGAAGTTAAGTCAGGCTCTGGAGCCTAGACAGGCCGCCTGCTTCGACCTAGGAAGGTAGTGTTGAGACAGCCTTCCACGGCTCCCTTTTCAAACTGAAATCTGTACTTGAAAGTCTAACAACACGCCTACATTGAACTCAGATCTGAACAGCACTCTTCAGTCTTTGGGGACAACAGTGTAGGTGAACCCTATTCCTCTCCCTCATTCCCTTGGTCCCCAGGAAGATTCCTACCCACACCCCCACACTGCCCAGCCCAGACACCTGGTCATACCCTTGGCCTCTCCAACACCATGTGGCCTTTGAAACCCTACTGGGTGCCACGCCTTCTGCCCCATGTTATTTTTTTTGTGTGTAGAAGTGCGTCGCTTGCATGTATGTAAGTGCACTCATGTCATGCAATGCTCATGGAGGTCAGAAGAGGGTGTCAGATCCCCTGGAACTAGAGTTATGGATGGTTGTCAGCCACCATGTAGGTGCTAGGAATCAAACCCAGGTCCTCTGCAAGAGCAGTGGGTGCTCTTAACCACAGCCATCTCTCCAGCCCTAGAAACTTTAGTCTCACCTAGCTCTCAGCAAACCCTTTTGGTTATTGACATTCTGATGGTTACACTGTTGCAAATAACTGATACTACCTAGTACCCAGCACCCTTGCTGAGTCTCACAGCCTAAAACAGTTTGCTTTGGGGTGGGGCATGGTGATGAATGTCTACAGTCCCAGCACTTTTGAGTTGAAGGCAGGAGGATCAAAACTTCAGGGCCAGCCGGGGCTCCATACAGAGATCCTGTCTTGAATACAAAACACAGAATGATACTTTGTGTTGGAGAACAACAGATCAGCAGGTCAAGAAGTATGGTCCACAGATCCCTGGTCAGCGGGTCAAGAAGTATGGTCCACAGATCCCTGGTCAGCGGGTCAAGAAGTATGGTCCACAGATCCCTGGGGGCCCTGAGACTCAAAGGTTGGGAACAGCCATACTTCAAACTCCCAGGACAGATATGAAGGTGCCCATACCTTACCTGGAGAGCAGCTGGGTAGTAATAACTACACAAGCCCCCTGAGGCTGCAGGTGAGGCTAATCTAGTTTCCCCCAACTGCAGGTGTCTACTCACCTGGGGGTAAGCACTGGGGCTTTTGTTTAAAAAAAAAAAAAAAAAAAGCCTGAGTGACCACAGGATTCCTGTGATAGCCCAATGCACACAGAAATCTGTGCAGAAAGTCTCAAATCCACCAATACAGTCATTGTCAGGAAATGAAGTGGAAAATCCTATTGAGATCTGTGTATTTCTTGTTGGGGCCAATAACTGCAGAGCGAGCGCTCAATTTGGGACCATTGGCGCATTTAATAAGTGAACGAGTCCTCCAACTCTCAACTCTCTGAATGAGCGCTTGATCTCCCAGCTGCCTGGTTTTTCCCTAACACTGTGGGAGGTTGTCAGAATGAAGGAATAGCCTAACGGGCCACAGGGAAAGGTGCTTGGGGGTCTTGGCGGCAGCTTTGTAGGGGCCACTGGATTGTCCTGTCCATGTAGCTGCAGCATTTGACGGAGCAGCCTGGCCCCCAAATCTGAGCAGATCCAGACACAGAAAGCAAGGCCACAGCTTACGTCACTGTGGGTGAACCCCTTTGGAAACGGGTCATATGTGTCTGGAGAACTTGTGACACTGGAGGACGGGAGCCACCAAGGTTTATCCCTAAGCACAAGATTAGGTTCGGGAAAATCAGCCTCCTCCAGATAAACTGATGGTGACAGAGCTAGTGGACTCCTGGCAGGGAACTCGGTGTCCTCTGTGGGAACAGGCAAGCTAGCTACAAGGCTCATCCTTTGCAGAGTGGGGCAAAAGGTTAATTAAACAAATCTCAAGCTCTGTCCCAACCCAGCATTTGGAAAAGAAATGAAGCATTAAGATGCAAAGAATCTGGGCCAAGGCGAGGATGAACAAGGGGGCTGTTCCATCTTGGTGTTCTGTCGGCTCCTCCAGTACTGAGGGACCGGGCTCTACACAGACGCTTGCTATATTTCCAGACTCTGCGGAAAGCCCCTTTTAAAAAACTTTATTTTATGTATATGAGTGTTTTGCCTGCATGTATGTAAGTGCACCTGTGTCATGCAATGCCCATTTAAGTGAGAAAAGGGCATCAGATCCTGTGAAACTGGAGTTACAGATGGTTGTTAGCTGCCATGTGGATGCTGGGAACTGAACCTGGGTCCTCTGCAAGAGCAGCCAGTACTCTGAACTGCTGAGCCATCTCTCCAGCCCCGTCTGTGGAAAACCTTTTTGAGACTCTGGCTGCTGGTGCTGGTCTCCTTCCACACCTCCTGAGAATTGACAGAATTTACTTTTCCATTCTGGGCCTCCAGCTTCCACCTCAGTCCACCTCAGCTCACTAAGGAACTGCCTGCAAATTAAACACATCCGGCCGGCTGGAGACTGCCAGGCTGCTTTAATTAAGGAGCCCACGGCAGCTCCCAGGGCAACCCAGCTTCGCTTGATTAAACACGGACTCTCACAAGTGACTTCTCCGGGTTCTCCAGACGTGAAGAAGTCTCAAAGGTCTGTGAGGCTGTGCCACGGTTCCTGCTGCTCTCGTTTGCATTTGGGACGCGACAGGGTCCTAAGCGGGTTCCTTCTTTTGCTAAAAGCATCAACGTGACACTGCAAACAACTGATATTTCCAACCATTGAAAAGTACCATGTTTATTCTGAGCAACCAGCAATCCCCCCACTGCAGGTGGTGAGGGAGAGACGGTCCCCTCAGGCCTGGGAGCCTGGCCACCTGGCCAATGTACCCTCAGCTTCTGCCTCCCTGCATTTGATCAATTGTAGATGTTCAATACTCAGGAGGGGTTGGGGATGCAGCTCAATGGGTAGAGTGTTTGTCTAGCATGCATGAACCCAGCGTGGTGGTACATGCCTGCATCCCAGCATTCAGAAGGTGGAGGCAGGAGGATCAGAGGCTCAAGGTCACCTTCAGCTGCTAAGTAAAACTCAGGAAAACAATTGTGTCCCTGAGCACATGCACTCTCAACATTATCTCTAAGCAACTCAGTACACCTATTATTTATGTGTATTGCCAGCATGTAAGTAGGTGCACTTGTGTCATGCAATGCCCATGGAGGTCAGAAGAGGGAGTCGGATCCCCTGGAACTGGAATTACAGATGACTGTTAGCTGCCATGTACATGCTGGGAATTAAACCCAGATCCTCTGCAAGAGCAGCCAGTGCTCTTGATTACTGAGCCATCTCACTAAGTTCCTATTTGTTTTCTGAGACAGGGTCTTATTATGTAGCCCAGGCTGGCCTTGAACTCATGGTGATTCTCCTGCTTCAGCCTCCTGAGTGCTGGGATAGCAGGTGTGCATCACCCCGCCTGGCTCAGTCCAGCTATTTACATAGCATCTGCACCATAACCTAGAGGCAACTTGGCTATGGCAGGTTATCTGCAAATGCTGACATGACCCTGGCAAGGTGGTGTGGCTGTGTGACTCCAGAACTCGGGAAATGGAAAAAAATTCTGTAGCATTTTCTTTCAGGTTCTGAGCATTCACAGACACAGGTATCCAAGCAGGGGTAACAGGATGGCTTCAAACTGTCCCCTTTTTAAGACTAAGGGATGTCACCCATGTATTATGACACAGCAAGGAGCAGGTAGCAGAAGGGAGTGCACTCATCGGCTGACCTTGAAGATGATCCTGCATCACCTGGGGACCCCACGTCATCACAGCAGTCCTTAGTAGAGAGCAGAGGTGGAACTCAGGCCTGCTGGCTCTTTGAGAGGGAGCTCAGGTGGCTTTAGAAGAGAGAGGGGCAAGGCGCAGACCCTCAGCATCGGCACAGGCCAGCCCAGTGGCTGCTGGAGCCCAGTCCAGGGACCCTCTGGATTTCTCATGTATCTCCCTGCAGGACAATGGTTCTGGGGCTGAGCCATCGGGTGTGGTGACACAGAGCAGCCCCTAGTCTACAGACAGCATACATCCCCTCCTTCAACCTTTCCGTAACATCACTCCAGCACTGTCAGCCCACAAGGCCATCAAGGGGGCCCAGTGTCCTCTGATGCCACCCTACACTCCAGCCCTGCTGTATACTTCTGGTAAGTGGGAACCCAACACCGGACTCTATGAATCTCGGAGGAAATGGAACTTAAGCCCTTGGATGGGGACTGCACAGACCAGTAGGTATTCTGGGAAAAGCAGGTCCAACACATGGCCCAAGAAAGCAGATTCACGATACTGAATGTTTAGAATTTATTGACATGACTTCCCACAAGGACTGCAGCCCAGAACTGCTCAACTGTGCCGCCTCTGAGCAGCTGTGTGGACTAAATACCCCTGTTGCTTGTCCAAGCTGCCCCTGGGGGAACTCAGTTACAGGAACCGAATCCCAGCTCCAAACTGGACGCCATCACAAATCCTAAAAGGAAGGGGAAGAGGTCAGACACGTCATCACCAGGTTTGGAAACACTGCTGCACATCTTCTTCCACCAGCCTGGCCTGGCCTTCCCCTAGCTAGCCCAATTTTCCTCCTGCACTAGTGAGAGTCACCAAGGAGAAGAGAGACAAAGAGAAACAGAGCTCATGTCTCCTCACAGGGAGGCCAGGAAACATAACAGGGAAGACAGGAAGGCGCAAGGCGGGCGCCAAGGGGAGACAGGGAGAAGCAGGAGGCTCACTAGTTCGGGCTAGCCTAAAACTCAGAATGGGCCTGGGGCGCACAGTGACCCAGCACCCCAGCCTCAGATACTGCCCAGCCACCTGTCAGACTTGCTCCTGACCAGGAGGGAGATCACCAACAGTCACCGCAGCTGTGCCGTCCACAGAGCCCTCCGGATCCACAGGAAGCAGTGCTCCCAGAGGCCAGCAGCCAAGATGAAACCCACAGTGCCTCTGGTGGGTCTAGGTGGCTTATGTGACATCTTATACTATGAGGCCAGTGAAAGGGCTATGGCTGCTGTCACTAGAAAAAGCCCAAGAAAAGCTGCAAGAGAGAGCATGCCACGTTCTTGGCTGAGAGGATTCTGAGAACAAGCAGGCGTCCTGCAGCTCAGCTCGGTTACTCTAAACGGATCAAATGGCGTTTGTTTGGGGACCCCACACACAGGTCACAGACAAATACCCATGGTGGGCGTTCAAAATGACACCAGAGTCACCCCTCCGCTTCATACCCAGTTGGCCTCCTAAGGCCCTGAGTCCTGGCCAGGTACAGGCTATCTCCCTGCCCCCGACACCCTCATACCAGCCCCACCAGGGGTCACCAGGAAGGCCCACTGATGGGCACCCTCCTGTTCATAACCACAATGCTTTGCTCCCTGTTCTCCCTGAGTCCCAGGGGGTGTTCCAGGTGTGAGGGAGTCAGCATACACAGATGCGGTCCTGAACACACAGCCCTTGGCAGGCCCCTGGGGGACCTGCTAGTGTAACTGGAGCGGGGAGGGCAGAAGGAGGGGCCTGAAGCCAGACACCCCCCACCACCCCTGCCCATGTCCTGCAGACTGTCCACACACAATACCCCCGCCCATGTCCTGCAGACTGTCCACCCACACTACCCCTGCACAGCTGGGCTCCTGTGCCCGCAGCTGCGGTGCCCTGCCCACCCACACCCTCAGACACACCCTCATAAGGCCCAGCAGGTTCCATCCCTCTCAGGGCACTCAGCCTCCCTGGTTGCAATGATGCCGTGTTTTCTGTTGCTCGATGCACAGGTGCGGCAGCCCCTGACTCATCGCTGGGTCTCCAAAGACAGAGCCCGAGGAGCCATGCTATGATGGGACACAGTGGGTCCCAGAGAGGATGGTGCCACAAATCATTCAGGACGGAAGTCAGCAAACACTTCAAAATCGTCTCCACTTTTGCAAGTCCTAACTGCAGTGTGCCTGAATGAACTATGGGGGAGGGGCTACTGTCCTGCCTTCCGGCTGCCTAATTTTAGAAACAAAGATGACATCAGGCAACTTCCCTCACCCGTTTACAAAGCCGAGTCACTGGGGTGGGATTTCCACCTTCAAGGCTGCCCCCGGACGGTGTCTCTGCCCGCAGCCTGGGCCAGGGGCCTGCCTCGACTCCGCACAGAGCCCGCTTTTTCCAGAAGCCACGTTCTGGAATATCCTCTGAGACGTACTTCCCAGGTTTAGTAAGAGAGGCAGGGCTGAGGGGACTGTCCGGGAGAGGCACATGCTCAAGCGTTAGTGAGCAGCACAGACGCTCCACTGCTCGGAGCACACTGCCACCCTGTGGCTGCTGTCGGCACTGCAACGCCGGGCCACCAAAGCCCAGCTGCTCCAGGCTCGGAGTCAGCACTGGACTCCCAGAGGCCTGAGCGCACACAGCTGAAGGGGTACACCTCCCCCGCCTCCCGAGGACGTGAGCAGGCTTCCAGAAGGCCTTCCCAGGAGCATGGACCGAGGAGCCGCCAGCCTGGCTCCTCTTAGACGGAGACAGGAGCAGCGCCTCCACCTGCCCTGCACCTAGAGCCGAGCCTCCTTCACACTGCACTTTAATTGTGGCACGTCACACTAACCGGCATGTCACACTAACCAGAACGTCACACTAACCAGAACGCCACACTAACCGGCATGTCACACTAACCAGAACGTCACACTAACCAGAACGTCACACTAACCGGCATGTCACACTAACTGGCACGACACTCGAAGCAGCGGGCAACAGGGGTGGCCCGGAGAGAGGACAACTTGGCCTCCTGAAGGACTGCAGCCCAGCCCAGCAGGCTGCAGGGCCACAGGACCAGGGGCCCTGGGTCTGCCCCCGGGGGCAGAGCAGAGCACCATGCACACACTGCAAGCACTGCCTATGGTCACCATCTATTTTCTGAACAGGAAGTGGACCCAAGGTGGCTACCTAACTTACTCCAGGTCACACAGCCACCCAGAGTGGTCCAGCTGTGCTCCTGAGCACATACTGCCCACAGCACTAAGCTGGGTATGCTCTGTGTGGGGACCAGCAGGGCCTAAGGGAGCTGGAGCATCTGAGGCTCCCGCTGGACCTGAGGCTGTGCGTTCTGTTCAGGGAGGATGGGAGGAGCGTGGCCTAGCCAGCAAAGGGTCAACCACCTCCCACGCCCACAGTGGGCTGGGCCCTCCTACACAGATCAACATGACAATCCCCCACGACACACCTACAGGCCAACCTGACCCGGTCACTTCAGGACAGCGAGAATTAACTGGCACAATCCACCCCTTGTCAACCTGACACACAAACACATCTGTGTATGTGAGCACAGCACTGACAGGAGGCTGTCCTCCAACGTCAGCAGACACACCGTCAGCAAAGTGGTGCTGTCTTCCTGAAGCCAGCCACATGGCTCAGGTGTGAAGAGATGACCAGGAGTGTTCTCAGGAAGATGCAGAGTAACAGTGAACGAGCACCACCACTGAGGACTGAGCGTGCATCACCACCACCGAGGACTGAGCGTGCATCACCACCGCTGAGGACTGAGCGTGAATCACCACCACTGAGGACTGAGCGTGAATCACCACCACTGAGGACTGAGCGTGAATCACCACCACTGAGGACTGAGCGTGAATCACCACCACTGAGGACTGAGCGTGAATCACCACCACTGAGGACTGAGCGTGAATCACCACCACTGAGGACTGAGCGTGAATCACCACCACTGAGGACTGAGCGTGAATCACCACCACTGAGGACTGAGCGTGAATCACCACCACTGAGGACTGAGCGTGAATCACCACCACTGAGGACTGAGCGTGAATCACCACCACTGAGGACTGAGCGTGAATCACCACCACTGAGGACTGAGTGTGCATCACCACCACTGAGGACTGAGCGTGAATCACCACCAGAGGACTGAGCGTGAATCACCACCACTGAGGACTGAGCGTGCATCACCACCACTCATGACTGTGCATATACACTGACACTACTGACTGAGCTTGCATCCACAGTAACAACTGAGTGTGCACAAGTGTGCACTAGTCATCATACACCAGGCAGTGCTGCACCTGGACACAGGGCCTCTGCAAGGTGATCAAGCTTGGACAGGTGTGCAGTGAGGCCCCAAGAGGGATCCAGGTGTGCACAGCACTCCCCTGTGAGAACCCTGTTGGGAAGGCGCCCTGTGCAATCCAGACACAGCCTTCACCTGGAGCTGCCCGTCAGTACCTCTGTCTGGCTTCTGACCTCTAGAGCCTTGACACCTGTCGATCATAATCTTCTGGGCATCTGGACACGTGCATAAGGCCATCAGGTAATGTAATGGGCCCCAGCTGTTACTCTAAGTAACAGCACTCTTTCACGTCCACGGACTCTGCAACTGCAGACAGCCATGTGCAGGTCAAAACTTTATTTGGAAAAAAAAAAAAATCTGCCAAGTTTCAAAAGCAAATGCAGCTGAGCACTCAACACAGATACCATGATGTGTGGGCAGTATTGCAAGGAACCTAAAGATACTTTTACTCTGAAGGAGAGCAGTCGGGCATGCTGGAACAAGCCTGTAATCCCAACACTGTGGAGGCTGAGTCAGGAGGACCATGAGTTCAGGCCTGGGCTACCCAGTATATCTAAAAAATACTTAAAAAGTGAAAGCTAGGGATGGATAGAGCTTAGCTGAATGCTTGCCTCAGGTGTACAATGTCTGGAGGTTGGTCCCCAGCAACACACACAAACACGTACACACACACATGCACACACGCACCCCCCCATGCACACAGATACAGACACTGAAAGCACACGGGAGCATCTAAGTTCTACTGAAGTCCTATGTCCTTTTACATACAGGGCCTGAGTCATCTGTGCATTTTGCTGTCCTGGGGGTCCTAGAACTAACAGACACTAAGGATCAGAGGTACCTGGCCAACCCGCCCTCAATAAAGCCAGGAAGGATACCAGGGTGGAGGGCTTTCTGGGGCCAAGACAAGCTCAGAGCCTCGGCCCCCTAGCCAGGCTACGAACAGCTCCAGGCCCCTGGTGGCAGAGCAAGGCCAGAAGCAGGCCAACACGGGCCACCTCCTCAGCACCTCGCTTTGACCCACGCTGCTCTATCTTGGAGACAGTACAGCAAGAGTCCCAGGGGAGGGAGAGACACCCCACTTTTCCTCCCCAAACTCAGCAGAGGAAAACTGACAATGAGGCGAGCAGCTTCCTTCAAAGCTCTGGCGAGGACGCACCTGTCACCCCCCTGCACGCCCATGGGGATGCAGTAGTTCAGTTCCAGCCGAGCAATATTGCCAAGCCTGAGGACAATCCCAGCTCCATATGACCAGCGGATGCACTCAGCCAGCTTGCGAATGTGGGCTTTGGGGCCCTCCCCTGCAAACAGAACAGCCAGGTGAGCAGAGGTGTGTGGCTCCCTCCCTGGCTACTGGTGATTCCTGAAAACTGGGGCTACTGGGACCAGACCCCCAAGAAGAGGGGGTGTGAATGTGCAACGCGCTCGTCCAGACCCAGCCGTGCCTTCTCAACTCCCTGGGGCTGGCACATTCCATCTGCTTCCCTGGAAAGGTTTTTGTCACCCGAGTGGCTAGGGGGGCCTCATCTCACACCTCAGTCCACCCTGAGGCTCCCCAACCCCTCCAGCTGGATGCATCTGCTGTGAGCCTCCTCTGGGTGGAGCTCCCAGGGGACAGGACACAGACCTGCTCAGCTGCTCCGCTCTGGGCTGGACCTGTCCACAGGCCATGCTCAAGACCTGTTTGTGGAGTGATCAAATTTTCCCTTCCAAAATGGCACCTGGTGACTATTTTGCCCATGTTTCCTTCATTCAACCAGCACCTCTTTTTTGGTTTTTTAAGACAGAGTCTCCCTGTAGCTCCAGCTGGACTGAAACTTGCTATGTAGACCAGGCTGGTCTTTAATCAGTGATCTGTGATTAAAGGAGTGCACCACCATGCCTGGCTTGAAATCTGTTCTTTAAAAAATAGCCTGCACTTTACTATACTTAGGTCTAGGTGTGTTCTTTGGAGTCTTTTGTTTCTTATACCCTTCTGCACCCCAAGAGGCCCAGGTCTAAGGAAGCCCTCAGCAGTCACCATGTCATCGTCAATCTTATTTCCACTGCAACGGTGAGTTCCGTGCTTCATCCATAAATGGCACCCTAGTTTTTGTAGGGCATTTGAAAAAAAAAATCTGTGACACTGAGCAGAGTCTGACTGCTTCATCTGTTACCGTGAAAAGATTTCAGGAGAACTTAATATCCCATGGCAGCCTCTCCGTTTCTGGGAAATTCCCACTATGTTCCCTGTGCTCAGAATACAGATACTTCCCGGATGGAGTAAAAACTACCTACTACCAGGACCAGTTCTGAACCATGTTTTAGAGCTAAACTTGTAGCAGGGGAAGTAACTCTTTACTCCCTCAGAAATATGATCTAGATGACTGTCTCAAACCCACGGTGCCCCTTCTGTCAAGCTCCTGATGCAGTACTCACGGCACTGACCCAGTGAGCAAGCCCCAAGGTAAATTACCACCCAGCCCATTCCCGTAACCCACACCAGACCCACAGTGCCCTCTTTAAACTCAGGTACTGGTTTCAGGGCTTACAACTCAAACACTGGGAATAGTTAACTTACTGCCTGCTAGCACAAAAAATTCCAGAATCAGTATTTTCAGTACAAAAACAATGAGACTCGTTAGCGACAACACTCTGATAAAATAGAAAGGAACTTGATTTCCTCATGACAGAGCAAGGAGGCTTTTGCTTTTGCCTGCAGCAAGAATACTGTTTCTATGTAAACCAATCTGGACTAGTACAGGTTAAAAGGCATAACAAGTTCCTGGCTTCTTCCAATTCCTTCTGGTCCTCACTCTCCCTTGTGACTCATACTAAAGCCCACTGTCAGCCCTCACAGTAACAGTCCTCTCTGAACCACATTTCTTCTCCTGTTTGATTGACTTCATTTCCTCTTAACTGGTATCAATGACGTTACAAATGGTCCTGACTTCCGGACCTGCGAAGCAGGCAGTGGGGCAAGAGGGTCTCAGAGGTTCAGTATTTAATACAACAAATCTTTAAAGGCTGATGCCTTAGGTGATATAAACAGGCATCGAAAGGGAAATGAAGAGGTAAAGGAATATACCCATGCATTTAATGTTGCTTTTATCATTTAGTAACTGATTTTATACTTTAGGATATAGTACTTACCTTACGCGGTTTTGTGAATGCTTACTAAAATGAACACCAAAGCCCTCAAAACTATCTTGAGAAACAAATACTACAGTTATCTAATGAAATGTCTGTTTGCAATCACTTTGCTTGCTTAGGCTCCTGCAATAAATTCTGTTGTTTTTTTTTTAAAAAAAAAAAAGAAAGAAAAAGAAAGAAAAAGAAAAAAGACAGGGTCTCCCGGTAACCCCAGCTGGACTGGAACTCGCTATGTAGATCAGGCTGGTCTGGAACTCACAGAGATCCGCCTGCCTCTGCTTCGTGGGTGCTGGGATTGAAGATGGGTGCCAGCATGCTCAGCTTCGACCACACCTTAACTCTGGGTGTTCAAACAGGAGCCGTAGGGGCAGAAGGCAGAGAGCCTGCATCTGAAGGGTACACACCAACCCGCCCTGTGAGGCAGGAGGCGAGTCTCACCATAGTTGAGGTTGCAGAGGTTGCCTGCATTGAGGAAAAAGTGGGTCCTGAAAAGCTCTCCAAAGCCGCCCTGACCTGGCCGGAAGGGCAGTGGTGTGTAAAGGTGCAGGCCTCCGGCCCAGTACGCCTCTCCGCCTAAGTAGTCTCCTAAGGGAGGAAGAACAGAAAGAGCACGTGACCCAATGCCACACACGTGAATACAACACAAGTGCATGCTCCTGAGCTCCTAAGCACCCCTGCTTTGCTATTCTGTGAACCTCCTTTTCAGGGTCTTTCTGGACTGACTCCCTTTGCACCAACTTAACTGAGGAGGAGCCAGAGCCGTGTAGAAGAGAATGAAGCCGGCCCCTGTCTGTACTGTGCCTAGTGCAAAAGAAACGAATCTCGGAAGGCGGATGTGGAGTCGTGGGAACCCTTCATCTGCTCCATCTTTCCCAAAGTGGGCACGCTGAGTACCACCTCCCTCTGTCTCACCCACGATCTTCTCTGTAACTGGCACTTGCGACAGGTATCTGAGCTTAGCCAATAAGAGCCGCCATAACCCAGGCTTTTGCCCTAAAAACTCTGGTTATGACTGTGGCGAGACTGGGAGAATGTCTCTTTTTGGAACTAGAAGCCAGCCATCTGCTCAAGTCAAACCCGAGGCTGAGGAAAGATGGGAGGCCTGTGTGGCTCCGGAATCACTCACTCAGGAACTTATCTTCCCACGCAGGCACCACAGAGAAGCACAGAAATGAATGGCTGGCCTGAGACCCTGAAATCTGACCTATGTTTTCGCCACCGGTGTACCACTAGCCTGGCCCTCCCATTTCCTGTCACCAGGGAGCCGTCTGAGGGCCCGCCTCTCGGGCTCTTTTGAGCTGTGAGGTGCCTGTCAGTGTGGCAAGGCTTGAGTTCTATAGCTCTGTTGGTTACTAGCATAGACGGGCACAGAGGCACAGGGTGCTTGGGACCTCCAGGGCAGGTCGTGCAGCATGGGGAATCCCGAGTGTGCGATCCTGGTGAGCCCAAGGAGACTCCCAGCTGATTAGCCAGCACCTGTGAGTACATGGCAGCTTCTCTGGTGTGCTCTAAGTGCATGCGGCTTTCACATCATTCTGTGTATAAACCGAACTTAATCTACTCTTATTCCTGAAGGTAACCAAGTGCCAAATCTGCGACTGCTTCAGTTTGTTGTTTTTTAACTTACCGAGTGCTGAAATTACTATTCCTGGCATACCTAATTTGAAATGAATGTGTATATATGTAAGAGAATTTTTTACATTTTTTTAGGATGATGTCTGAACTTGCAATTATAGTATTAGCGTACAGAGGCTGTTGCCTCTCTGTTTTAAAGAAATGGCTGGGCCTGGTGCTGCATGCCTTTAATCCCAGCACTTGGGAGGCAGAGGCAGGTGGATCTCTGTTTGAGGCAAGCCTGGTCTACATAGTTCTAGGCCAGAGTTACACAGTGAGAACTTGTCTTCAAAAAAGCCAAATTTCAAGAAAATCATTCTTTCCACAACCACAGGTGTCACGTGGTCTCCACCTGCTGAATGAGATGTGCTATTCTGCAAACTTTCAAAGCTCCAACAGAGCCCACGCACAGCACAAGCTTCCATAGGATCTGGAAAAGAAGACGCGGTGGCGGGGCCGCTCAGTCTCAGAGAGAAGGGGCTGCTTCCAACTTTGCGTCTTGAATGAAGTTTGCTTTTGCCAGGGGCAGACGCTGCACGACTGCTGAAAACGCTCCTGTCCCTACAACCAAGCTGCGAAGAGGGACAGTGAACCTGCAGAGCTGATGGCCGCCTGCTGCAAAGCACTGTTCACAGGGGCTCAGACCCCTCTGATGGAGGGTGACGGCCCATGAAAAGAGGTGCTGTGTCTCCGTGGCTAAGCTCAAAGCTGACCTGTCCACTCAGACGCTAGCCTGGCGTAGTCCTAACGCTGGAGTCCTACAGGACACAAGAGCACAGGCAAAGGCAGAGACCGGGAAATGCTCAGCCTGGCTTTTCTGGTTCCCAAGTTTCTGAGAGTCACCTGTGTTGTCAGGGGCCAGCAGCCGTGACCGTCCCTCACTACTGCGTCCCTCACTACCGCTAGCTGATGCGTTCACTCTCCTCTTGAC